CTGTCCCGCCGCGATTATCGACAGCGAGAATTTTCGTCACGGCCGCCTCTCTCTCTCTCTCTTTCTCTCTCTCTCTCTGTCTCTCCGCGTGACTTTTCACGCGGGAGAAAAAAGTGCGAGTGAAATTTTCCCACCGCAAACTCGACGTTGCTTCTCATCGCCGCGAATCGCATGACGAATCGCGCGCCTCTAAAACTGCGAAACGCTATCCAGCACCTGTTGCTGCGCGACGTAATTGCACGTGATAACGTCTCATTAGCAGCGACGCGCGAAACGTAATGAAACGTGAACGGCACTCGAAATCACTCCACGTTCCACTTCGTTGGGCGCGTTTTTAAATATTCCTGCAAATGTCAAATTCGAATTTCGTCGGTGTAATTTGTCGTCGCTGTGCCGCTTCGCGAAATTATCTCGTCTGTCAAAGAGATAATCCGAACTGTCGGGACTGCAACTCGCTCTCGGCGTCGCGACGCTCCTTCGACATCTCGCCCCGCTGCCGCGGCAGCCCGACGCTCGACGGAAGCTCTAATCCGCGTCGCGGGGTTTAACGTACGTCGGGGGCGTCAAGTCGGTCGGCCACCAGACGAAAATAAGGAACCAAGAATAATAATTGACGGGGGACGCACCGTTAACGTTAAGCAGAGCCGTGCGATAAGTCGCGGCCGCGCGGCAAAAATAAACCGCCTGTACCGAAAATAATATCGCGCTTTTTCTATCCTTCTCGCGAGAATCCGCAAAATCCCGCCGCCGTCCACGCGTGTCCAACTGGACGCTAAATCCAATTTGCACAATCAATCGGATCAAACAGCATCACGCATACGTCGGGACACGAGAAAAAAAATGATCACGAGGCGAAAGACGTGCATTTTCGTGAACATTCGCGAAATTTGCCTTCCGACAGCGATTCCGCGAAACCGCTCTCTCTCTCTCTCTCTCTGGTTTAAGTATAAACATTGTTGGCCTTTAAATCCGATTTCCGCGCACGGCGTGCAATTATATCCCGGCGAAAACTTTCACCCGTCGCGAGTATTCGCGGCATTCGCACGCCGCGCGCGCACGCGTCTCCTAATTGAACCATTAAGCGAAATTGCCGGGCGCGAGTTTGGCGATTAATTTATCGGTGATTATGCAACCGTCGTCGCTCTCGGATGGAACGGTAATATTTACAGTTAGAGGCGGTCGCGATGAGATCTGAACGTTAAAACGGAATTTAAACGACGTGATGAGGTCGAAATGCGATAACGTGATGAGTGCGCAGCGGTTAAGTGTATTAGAACGACTCGCTGGAATCTCAATCCGTAGATTCTTAATCGCGGACGTTCAAGAATAGCGACAGAGAAATCTAAAGCGACGAGATCGAGAATATCTTCTCGATATTTTTATTAAAATTGATCGAATCGACAATCGAACACATCATGAAGATATCGTTGAAATACAATCACGATTTAGATTCAGAAATAAAAAAATTTCCAACGACAAATTCCAACTTGGAGAACCGCCGGCCGTTCCGCGTCTGTTGCGACACTTTTGCAGCACGCTTCTGCATTTTGCGGAATCAACGTCGGCGTTTAAATTCCGCGAGCGGACTCGTTCTAACAATAAGTCGAACGGCGTCGTGTCAATCGGCGCGCCAGGACGTCTCAATCGCAGGAAACGAGCACCTGGTGCCGCTTCGGCCAATCGTCGCTAGTATGTACTCCGACTTTAAATAAACCGACGCAGCGGGAAGCGTAACGCTCCGCCGCGAGCTTGTTATGACAGGCACGCGATACATTTGTTTTACGGCGGAACGTTAAATCGATGCAGTGATACAGACCGTCCGCGTTGTTGTACAACTAATAAGCATGCATTCCCCCTTTGTCCCCCCTCCCCTCGAGCACCGCGAGCGAACACTCATTTACAATCGAAACCTGCAATTTGAACGACGAGAGATGCCGCATTAATCGTGACAACTTAATTCGCAATGACGGCGTGAACTTTTCCAGCGGAAAGGAATAACGGGACCCGCGGCTGCTCGGCGAAATCGCATTAAAAGAAGCCGGTTTGTTTACGCTGGTCACGTAACAGATTACGTTTCTACGCGAGTGTAATTCTCTTATTTGCGCGCAAGATCTCGCGAATGTCGCTCGGGATCAGAGATTCCCCGCGCGATACCGCCGTAAATTGTTTACGCGACGCGATCGAAGCCGGTGTGGCGTCACGAATGTTTATCCATTTAGTAAATCAAACGGGAGATAATCCCGATAAGGAGACGCAATGTTATCGGAAGATAACCTCGCTGTACACACAATGAGAAAGAGCCCGTTCCTCTCAGCCGCACTGCTACCACCTTCTGCGCTCGAGATGAAGCCGACGCGTTGGAAAGCGAAAGGAGGAAAAACTGGCGCGAGGAAGGAAAACGCGGCCGAAGGGAACAGGCTCGAGCGCGACTAAAACCGAAGCTGCCGAATCTCTAGAACGCGCGCACGGGAGCACATTGTTGTTACGGCCGCGTATCCATCCGGTGCATTCCATCGCAGGTGTATTTTCGTGCCGCGTGGAGTGTTCGCCGTCGGGCGAGTAAAAAAGAGTTGCGCTCCGCTCCCCCGTTTTCCCTTCGCTCGCGCGATCCCGCCGTCGTTATCGCCATTACTCGTCGCCGTGGATCGCAATAAGGCGAGAGGCGGCGATCGTTCTAGAACGGCGCTCCAGAGACCCGAGGTCGCTTCGGTGCGACCAAGTGGGCGGCTTGTTCGACTCACCGGACGGCAACCATCGGAAACGTTCGACGAGCGGGTTCCGCGATGCTGTCGTGCACTTCCTCCTCCCTCGTCGCCTCCTCGTAAACACCGCCACTTCGTCTGCAGCGGGCGCGGATCGGCACTCCGGTCCGTTCGATGGAATCCCGTCGCTCCGCGGGGAATTCCGCGCTGCGTCTCGCTCGCCTCGACCTCTCCACCTGTCACCGATGTACGCGATCGCGTCACGCGCGGCCGATCCGCACCGGTCCCACCGTCACGCTCGGTCTCGTTCTCGGCCTCTCTCTCTCTTTCTTGTACACTCTTCCGCGTTTTATCTCGACAAGGCTTTCGAGAGGCGACGAGCCATACGGCTACCGTCCGTCGGGGGCACTGATCAGCTGTGCACTGCGTACCGACCACCGCGCTGCTCGCGGCAACTTCCGTCAGCCTGTTACGTCGGTCGTGGCGGATCGCGGGATTCGGCGCGACGGCCAGTGTCTTTCGCGCGAATAATATCCCGACGATTTCTCGCGGGCGAAACGATCGCAAGTGGCGACGGCGGATCGGGGATGCGGCAGCTCGCCTGAACCACGTAGTCAAGATGGCCGCCGCGCCGACAAGTGCCATCCTATTTATGAATGGAAGGCGCGTCATAATGGTTCGCCGCAGTCACGAGGAACGAGGAAAGAGGGACGGCCGCGTGCTATTTTCGAGCGCGTACGAGACTGGACACCGACGCGCGCTGTCGCGACGGATACGGTCCTCTTTTTCTCGCGCGGTATCTGTATCTGATTCCGCCGTTTCGAATCTTTCGCGAGAAGCGCGTCGGAGCTGAACTAGATTACTGAGCGAGCGCGAGAAACTAAACACGGGAAAAATTTACATTTGAAAGAACAATATTTCTTGTAATTTTATAATTATGCGACACCTGCCGTGGTGTTTTTTTTTATTTTGCACTTACCTCAGAATTGAAATAAAAATAAACGATTTTCTCCATCCAAAATGTGGTATTAAACAAGTCTTTTATGTTCCTTGTACCTTGTTTTAAATAATCCTTACTTGTAGATGATATTCCGAATAAAACTTTCTGCAATTAGTTACCAAATATAAAAATGTCAATATTCGATAAAAATAGCGTAACTGATGTTAGAATTGCCGTTACAATCGGCGTTGCAACTAAAGTCGCAAATAAATCATAATTAAAATAACATAATAATATAGGAATAAGGACTTGATGACTTGCGCCGCATATTTTCGCCCTGGTAAATGACGAGGTGTGCTAGATTTACTGTAAACACTGGTATATTGATTTCTACGGATATATAAACCAAAATTAATAATAATACAATAGTAATAATAATTATTATAATAATAATAGAATTACTAATACGGAATAGACAATTACTCCTTTGTTTTTGCTTTCTGAAACAGTGGATTGCATATTAATGGAAATAAGCGAAACTGATTCCCGACATTTCTGTTGTAAATGCCTTTCGAACACATCCGAAACACTGGAGAACATTATCCTCGCGATACTCGTTCTCCGTTTCATCCCGTTTTGTAAATAAGTAAGTAAAAGTGCTAATAGTGAAACGGAATTAACAAGGCGACTCGCATTGCGCTGTGGAATCCAGAAGAAACGTACGCACTCTGGATCACATATTTCGCGAGATGAATTTCTACATTTATCTCGATAGAGCTAATCGCATTTGGATACAAAAAAAAATGCACCCCGATAAGTTTACGATTTTGATCTCCGCAATCATCAATGCAAGCATCTCAGTCATATATTTTTCTTAACAGTTCGTCATGCGAGGGATTGGCAACGATGGAAACAAGAGACATAACATTTAAAAAGATATGCAAACTTAAGAAGGTTATATTGAAACATTTTATCAAGCGTTCTATATTTACTTTCAACTTCGCTTATGCATTATCTTACGTAATACTGTTGCCTAAAAGTAGTGCATATTATTCAAAGAGAAAAAATATTCTTTTTTTTACAATCGCGCAAAAATATAATGGCACCAAGCATACGTTTCTTTTGCATTCTTGATATTAATTTTTATAATTGCTCGCCGGCGAGATTATCATCGCTTCTCCTGACAAACTTGTAATCCTTGAATCAACGATATAGCAAATTAAAATCTTGCTAATACTACTCAGGTCAAAACTACGCACCGAACGTAGCAGGGTGGAAAAAAAAGAAAGAGGAAAGAGACGAAAAAACGAAGAAAACCGATAATCTAGAATTGCTTTTAAGACTCGAAAGGTTTTAAACGCGCTTATTATACGTTTTCGCGTCGTTTGCGGTAAAAAAGCTAATCTGTTTGTAAACCTGACTTGATCCCGCGAAGAAAGGATTCGGATCCAGCAATGATCTCTTAGCGTATAAGATGTGAACCGATCAATGACGCGAGCTGGCAGCTGGAAGGATGGGAGTTCCAACGGGAGGAGGATTCCTGCTTCGCTCCCGACACTATAATGATGGATATTAAATTACAAAATGCGCGCCGTTGAAACTCCGCCGAGGCGATACGCCGATCTCGCAATAGGCCGATCTCGATGTCTAATCGAAGTCACGCGATCGCAGACCAAGCCACCTCCTAGTCGTCGTTGACCTCGATCGGGATACTCGTGGTGAAGGTCGGCGTTTCTAGCTCCTCGTGCTTCTTCATCTTCATACTCTGCAATGATTATAGGGTGTTCATTGTAATTAAATCGTTGGACATTGAAAACACCGTCTAACTGCATTATGATGTTGCGTCATCGCGTAGGCGCAAATTAAAAGACTCGAAGAGCCACTAATTAATTCGATTCAGCCGACGACCTGCGCGCAATTAGAGGTCGACCCCGTTGCGCCTCACCTGCTGCAGTTTGTAGTGATTAATGATATCCTGATCGGCCGGGCAGCTCTGTAAGAAGGCGTCGAGCCTGTACATGTGATGCATGTACCGCCATAGATGCACCAGAGTCTCCGGTATCTCGAAGTCTGCGAAATACTTGCCGGCGACCCTGATGTGCTGCAGCCGCGGCATCAGCTCGCAGTCGAAGCAGCACATAGTGTCGCCGGTGAGAAAACGGGTGCCCTTGCGACCGAGATGCTCGTCGATCTTACGAAGATGCGCCATCAGCGACGAGGTCTTCGGATCCTTGTCCTTATCCTTCGCGTTCAGCAGCAGCAGCTTAAGTTTCTGCAACAAACAAAAACGGACATGTAGAGTCTCCCTCTAAGGTAGCGAGAAAGAGAGAGAGAGAGAGAGATGTATAATTCAACCGCGTGACAGTTGGATTTTCTCGATTAGTTTCACTCTCAACCGGATTCACCGACACTCACGCTGAACAAGTTCTCCACGAGAGTGGCCACTTCCTTATCCTGTACAAATAGATTGTGCCCGCCGGGGATGTTCTTCATGATATGTCGCTCGATCTTCTCGTTCTCCAGTATCGCGTCGCCGTTGTCGATCAGGATGGGCGGCGGCGTGGCCTGGAAGTTGGTGCGGAAGTCGGGCGGTGGTTTCTGCATGTCCACGGTGGTCACCTTCAGGGAGATCGTCTTCAGCTCCGCCAGAAGGTACAGATCCATGAAGTACTCCTGGCAGAACAGGCAGGCGCCCTTTCGACGGCCGTCAATCGTCGATGCCTGACAACAATTTTTCCTTCGTCAGATTTACACTTTAACGTTGAAAGCAAAAAAGAAAGTTTCAGTGAATATCGAAAATGTACTTTGCAGAAGATTAATTTTTCGCTTATTCGATCGCGGGTAGAAAATTTTCAAGGATAAAAATATGTTTTCGTATTTTAAAGCATGTTCGAAAATATTTTACAGCTCGAAAGAAATTCGAGCCTTCATCAGCCTTCAATCGAATGATCGTTACATCTTGTTGTTCCGCCGCGAAAGAGTGAGCTATGTTTTCGCGGCTATCGGACACGTTGACGCTGGCATGTAAATTCCACGGTATCTCGCGGACTCGATTATCCTGCCCGTGTATCACCGAAGTGTGATAAGGGGGCCAGCGAAGCGCGCTGACGTCATCTCGCGCAGCACAGCTAGTGCGGCGGAATCCAACAAACGACGCGGATTCTTTGTGTTTGCGCGCGACGAGCGGCGACCCAACCCGTCGGTCAAACCCAATGCGACGAGCCCCCGTCGCGTTTTCTCCCGCTCGATCGGCCGAATCGGGAGAGAACCGAAGCTCGCTAGAGCTGCGCTCTCGTTTTCCCGATGTCACGGTTTATTTATTCGCTCGCTAACGCGTTCTACTCTCCCGCGCTCACGGCCATCCCAAAGAACTTGACGCAATCTGCCAGATCGAAATTACTACCTCTTTTATTTACTTTTTCTTCCCCTCCCGCAGACAGCGTTATTTTCGACCGCGAATCCTGATATTTTTAACGCTAAAAAGTGCGCATCAATCGTCAAACGATCTTTGCTTATTCGCGAGAGAAGCATCTACTTTTTTGCACTTTATAAATCTCTATTTTAGCTTTGACCGTTAAATTTTCATTTTCTGACATTTATAATGGAATTGTGTCTTTTACGCTTTCATAAATTTGGGCCTTCGACTGTTAGAGAATCGCTACGCGAAATAGCGTATCTAACGCCGTGTCGAATGGACAATCGTGCGAATATCTCTCTCTCTCTATGACATTCCGTTCTGATCGTTGCGCCGATACTTTGATCCCTTACTGGCGAAGGCTAAACAACCCACACATTGTGTAACGTAATCGTTCCCTCCTGCGAGACTCCGCGATCGCCCGCGGTAATGCCGGTAATTCGAGCAAATCGTATCTCGGCAATCCGCCAAGCTCTCTTTCCCGGACAAAACAAACGGCGGACTCTATTTTCATCCGGCGTTAACAGTCGGCTACTCTTCCAGGCGATCTAATGAGCCGCGCGATTAGAGATCGCGATAGAAACGCGCGCGCGAGCACGGTGCCTTTGTTGCGCGAGATCGCTACTACAGTTTACTACTAGCCGATGTCGTTGTCTTACTTTCCAGTCTAATGCGTCATGCAGCCGGGACTCTGCTCGCGCGCGCGCGCGCGTCCGTATTCTTTCTCGGCGATGACGCACAGTCCGTTTTCGGACGTTGCACAACGTGAGAAAGTCAAGGCTCCGTTTAGCGGCGGATCCTCGAGAGGATCCTGCCGATTCCGCGCGCGTCTCTCACGGATCGAGGCTGCAATAGCGAATCTTTATTATGTTTACGATGGTCAGTTCCGAACCTTTTTGCAATTCTTTTGTCCGCGATGATTCGTACGTTCGAAGCACGCTTCGTTCCGAAGTGCAGTCGGTAATCTTTGGACGAAGGCGAGGCTGAGAGGTAAATCTCGATTTATAGACCGTTAGAATTGATGTTATTAATTTATTTTCAACAGTTCCTGCGACAGCCGCGCTTCCATCTAGTTCTTATCGCCTTCCACATTGTTTATTTATCTCACACATGAATGAGCGTCGAAGAGCTCGCCCACTCAGCGCGGAATGAGGATATGTATTGCGATAATCCTTCAGGCGATCCATTAGACATCTGTTAAACATCTTTTAGTGCTGCTCGAAGTAATATCAGAACTGCTATCGGTTGCGTCTGAAATGCAGAGCGTTCATTGCGCAATGCCGATGAAGCATTATTATTATTTCCGGAACGTGCGTGAATATGAAACAGAATGATAATTCGGCAAGGACAAGGAGGCTTATTCCACTATCGCGAGCGATTATGTCAATCAGTCATTCTACAAAGGATATTCAAAGAGTTATATTTGTCGTGTGCGATTGTGCAAGGCGATTTTATGGTATGAGTCATTTATTCTGAAGTGCGCGATGAACAGGTAATACTAACGAGAGAAGAATGATCGCCCATTAAAGTCTTTATTAAATTTAATTTTAGCAGCGACTACCGCAACGTTTTTTTTTTAATGCAGGACTCGATAAAGATTTGCGAAAATTTAAATGAAAGACGATTTCACAAGTCAAAGTAGTCTTGAGATTAGTCTAAAAATTATTTTTTTTTAATTTAATCGCACACTGCAAAAGTAAAATACTCGAAAAACATTATAAAAGAATGTGGATCTTTAGTGGGAGATTCTCTAATATTGATTCATCTCAACTTCCGTATTTTTTTTTCGGGACACAAAAAGACACAACAAATACGCCGAGTCGTGACGAGAATTGTCGATCGACGTTACCGAAACCGGGCTTGAATGATAAAAATAAATTCACCGTTGGCGTTGCGCAAATGTGCTGTGTATGGTAATAGTTTGGAGAAACATTTTTGTGACGTCGCGCGCGACGAGCCGACATTAGCATTCAACGTCGAATGTAGGTACGAGTCGCACGGAGAACGCTGACGGTGGATCAAATGTCACGAAGACACTGAGCATCTTCCATCTTCGAGGCTCTTTCACCTCGCCAGGCCTCCTCGCCTCCTTTCTCTCTTACGAAAGCTTGAAAATTCGTATGCGATATCATCAGGTGTGCATATCCGTCGATGTTCCTTTGAGGCGAGCACCGGCGCGACGTTAGAATGCTATTGCACGTGACGAAGCGGAACGTGCCTCTCCGCGAAGCCGCGCGTGACAGCGTCGATCGTTCCGAAAATTCTGACATAATTTATCGTTACCATTTGAATTTTTAACGCGCACGTAACTCGCGGCGAGGTAAGCGCAACACGTGCGTGCGTGCGAGCAGGCGAATTCCATTGCGTTGAGAGAGCCGCGTAAGCGCGTTTCCCGAACGCGGATCGGGAGCCACGGAGGTTTAATCCGAGTCAGCGTATTTACGGCTGATTTATGCGACGACGGGGAAACAGGAACCTTCGCCGAGGAATCCCGGTTAGGTGCGCGCGCGAGGAGGCAAAGTGTGTCTCGCGTTAAATGTTTGTTACGCGAGCGCGTGCGGTTTGCGTTATTATCGCGACCTCGCGACATCGTTACGCGATTCTCGGTGGAGTTATGTGGCCGAGGAATTGTGGAAAAAACTATGGAAAAAGAAATCGGACGGAGATGGGGAAGAGCGGCTAAAAGCGGTGCATGCATCGGTGGTATCGCTAATGGTAACATCGCGGGTAACCTTGTTTCATGCCTGGAAGAAATTAATGCGTACCTACGCACTTGCGTTATTCGACCGGAAGAAATTCTCCGAACGGTATGAAAAATTCATGTCCGTAAAAAAATTCTCTCGAGGTTTTGTAAAATAATGAAAAAGAATCGAAACGTCAAAGCGTCGACTTGGAAAATGGCATCGATCTCGAAATACCAGAAATTTAGATGTCAAAGATAATTATGTGTATTAAAAAATTTGATAAATTTCTAGGGTTTTAGAACTCAACTTTATCTTCGGGATGAATGGCTTGTGCGATAAAAGTACACATGCCTTCTTCCATCATCACTTCGCGCTGCACGCGTATGCGAGTACGCAGTTAACGTCCTGCTCCGTGGTATACCGTTACGAATAGGCAAATGTGTACACGTGCGTACGCACACGCGCGAGTGTGACGTCTGCGAATATATGTGCCGCGTGCAGCGATGGGAGTCACAATTCTACAATGTGTTCACCATCCGTCTGCTCATCTTTTCTTCCGAGCGGCAAACAGGAAAGAAAAATAGCAGGACGTTGTTCGCGAAGAATACGCGCGTAAGCGCCTATTATTAGCGGGACAACGCCGGACATCAAATATCCTTCGATCGCGCGCCGCGCGAAGGACAACTTCCTTCTGCACGTTCCAATTCCTTATCGCGTATGCGTCTCCTTTTTTATGCCTCGTCGAAGCGACGTTACGTATTTACTTGTTTGTGAAATCGTGAGAACTCTCAGAGTGTCTCTGACTTCCACCTAGACACGTTTATAATGACCTTAGAAAAGATTAAAGTCCAATCGATCGCTGCGGTCGCGAATGCTTACGCGATGTTCCCATGTCGCGCGCGTGTAACTGCGCGGTCGGAAAAAAATTCGCGCAACGAAGCGTCACAAGGCGTATTCAAGATATCGTAATTAATGCAGAATGTGAAACAAACAGATAAAATAATAAATATGGAAAGCAGTGCGCGTGTAGAAATCTAAAAGAGATCTGTCATCTCTCCGCATAATTTCAACATTATTTTATAATTTAGATTTCTTCACTGAACTCTGCGCCTTTTTATCTTCCTGTATCGAGAAAAAAAATATTCCTCTTTCTTTCTGGCAAAAATTTATTCCGCAACGTTTCTCCCATCGTGAAAATTCAATCTTCTATTTTTGCGGGGGAAAGAAGCCGTTCAAGAATATAATAGAATACATAGATCCGAGGAGCGAAGTCGGCGATCGAACAGCGGGGAAAGCCAGAAGAGCGAGGAAAGCGGAAGGCAAAGGAGTCCATCGTTTAACGGTATAGAATCTCGAGGAGGACCTTCGTGGTGGCCGCTCGTCGTTTCGTCCCGTTTGACACACTTGCGAGGCACCTCGCGATCGCCGAGTGCAAGGTCGGTCGACTTGCATTAATCTTCCTGCGCGCGCGCGTGATTTCGACGATATGTACCTGTCGCACCGTCCTTCCCCGATTTACAATGACACGACCGGGGCAATGCGCGCCGATAATATATAGAACTCGACCTCGTTTACCGAATAAATTAAGCGGCGGCCGCCGCGAATACTCGCGCCGGAGTTGTGGAACGCAAGCCGACGGACAAAATTTCAGCTAATTTAAATTCCCACGCCCATATTAACATACATGCAATGCGAAGCGAGCGATTTTGAAGACGTAGCGAAATACCAGGACGATGAACTCTGGAGGAAGTCGCGACGACGTTCTCCGGATTCTCGGGGCAACGCGTTTCAACAAATCGGCAAAATTATTATAATACGGCAAAATTATTATAAATTAGCATGGAGAAAATTAATGAGCAAAGTTACATCGATATTTTCCAAGTTTTAATTTTTTACGATAAATTTTATCGCATTTTTATATTGCGTCAAGAGGGATTGATAATTTTTTATCAAATTTTATGTGTTATCATGTTTATTCGCAAGACTGGAGAGGCAAATGTAATTAATGCAGAAATCGATCATCCCGGCTACCTGCATATTTATCTAACGCTGTAATCGAAATGATAAGCTTGTTATCTGAAAGACGTCCGTGTAGAATTCTCATTGACACACTTAAAGACAGGTTGCACCGATATGGCGATCGTCGCGCGTCTCGCCTTCACAATAGGATCGAACGAAGAATAGAGAGCGAACGCTTTCGGCGAAACCAAACATTGTATCGCGCTGTCGCGATATAACAGCCTTCACTTCTTATATGAATAAAAATATATATCTATACAAATATATTATTGAGTTTTACATTAAATATTTTACATCTCTGTATAAATTATTTCTGCGGTATAAAATACGATTACTTTTTCCTTGAAAAATATTTAATCTATTCTGCAACTTCAACTCCGAAATTCTTTATTTTTTCAATGGAGAAAGTCATTTAATTATTATTTCAATGATTTAGTATGTCTTTGTCATATAAGGACATGTTTGCGGAAGAAATCCGATTAATCGCGTCCCGGCGAAAGTTCAATTGCAAGCTCTTTAATGGTCATTCAAAGATAGCCTGTTTCCACTTAAGGAATCGTTCCCTTCTGAAAATCCGGTGAAAAGAAAGTTCCGAGAACTCGCGCCGAGCTTACCCTCGATCGAATCGCAATCAAATTGATTAAAAATACGAGAAAAAACAATCGCAGATAGCCCGATTGCTATCTAATCAAAATTGAAACTATATAATGTTATCATAAAATTATGATATCATGTAAGATTAATTGGCCATAAGCCTGATTGATCTTACATTCGTCTTGAAAGCAAGTCGTCCGGACATGAAATACTACGTCACTGACTATTAAAAGTCTATTATTAATTATTGTTAAATCCATTATATTTTAATTTTGACACTGAAAACGAAAATTCTATTCCGAATCACAATTTCAGTCAACCACAAAGTATTTTAATTTATAATTTCCATTATTTTTCTTTTAATTATTATTCAAGTAATGCGTTTCTGCATTGAATGTAAACCATAAACATGCAATATGCAAAACCGACATTGTTTAAGAATGTTAATTCGATTTGACGGAGCGGCAGAATTTGCCGCATGATAAAATTTTTCTATACCTCTCCGAATTAACAATCGCGCGACAAGGGCATCTAGTGAGATTTAAAACGCCGCGTGAATTGCTGCGATAAGATAGGAATGTGGCAAAGCCGCGACAGATGGAATCTGCAGCGTACGTGCAGATCGATCGAATCTGCGATCGATTTCGCGCGATTTCCACTGACAATCCGAAGAAAGGGCGGGCGAAAAACCAGTCCGGATAGTAAATGGCCTTTCATTTTCCGAGCGGTGACCGATTTCCAGATCGCGCGCGAGACAACTTTTTGCTCGCTCGCGCTTTTCCCGTGGAAGAAGCGGGGACGCGGCCGGACGGCGCGGATCGGCGGGCGCCTTTTCGTCGTGTCCCATCTGCCGCGGTGTGTGCGGCACGTAATGCCCGCTGAATACACAAACGATGAACGGAGGGAGAAGAGCAGCGCGGCGAGAACGGCTCGGCGCCCTCGATGACTCCATGCGTAAAGAAATGTGTAGCGTACGAGCGCGCTACTCCGGAGCGTTTATATATGCTCATGGTATCAGACTTAACTATCTGTGTCCGTGCTTTTTACGAGGTGGTGCCGCATAAAGGCCTCATTTATCGCCAAACTCGTTCATCTTCGGGTTTTTCGCTCCTTTAAGTTTCGACCAGACCGACGAAATCGGCGTAAACTACGACGAGTTGAAGTTTGTACACAGCAGTCACGCGACAGAGAACCCCATGTTTTTTATTCAAACGATGACGGCAGCCCGACGGTTGGCGCATTGGGCTCTCATTTTCGCGCGTTCGTGACGAGAAAAAAAAAGCGCTGAAAACGAGCGGCGACAAATCGATCTTGACCCCTGACGTAACGTCAAACACCGCGTAAAACATTGATTGCACGCATGCGGCCGTCAAAGTGAACTTCTGTCGCGAGGACTCGCGAAAGGCGAACAGCGACGTACGCACTACGCACGTACTATCCGCGTGCACCGCGTTCGTTGCTCGCTCGCTCGCTCGTGATTACGCGTCAATGTACGCGCGAGGGAGCCTCGCTCGAACGATGAAAACGAACCAATTCCCGACCGTTACGACAGCACGGCGTTTACAATCGCGGGCGAACGTGACGCGAGATAAAAACAAAAGTCGGGCAAGGGAGACGGCCGGACGCGCCGAAGGCGACGGAGAAACGGTCAACGGATTATTTTTCGCGCTGGCCGATCGCGCGGCTGCCGCCGGTCGCCCGCGATTTTCACGGTCGCGACATCACGGCTGGTGAGACAAAACGACTTTGAAGTATTTGCCGATGAATCCCGAACGAGAACCAGTCCGGCTCCACGCCCATAGCGCGCACGAGACGATATCGCCTCCTTTTTCCTCCGTCTTTCTCTCCGTCTCGCCCCCTTTCTATCTATCTGTCTATCTCACTTGCCGATCCTCGGTCGCGCGTGGCACACTCACCTTGATGATCAGCTCGATCTCGGGCACGTCGCCGTTACTGGTGCCGTTCTCGTGGCCGTCGTCCGCCATCCTGTGGGGGATCCTCGTTCGCAATGAAGTGGAAAGAAGGCACTTTTGTCTTGCGGCGTTTCACGGCGACTCTCGCGTCTGCAGGCGACGGCGACGGCGGCGACTCCCTCCCTCTCGTAACTCGTGAGGAATCGGGCAAAACCGAGAAACGAGGAGAACGCAATGGAAGTTCGCGGAATACTGATGCAGCGCGCGTCACACCACGTTCACACCGCTGGCGCCGCCTGCAGCGTGACGTCACAAGCAAAAAACCGCGCTAAATTTAAAAGCAATTCAACACTCTGAAATACTCTGAGCTTTAAACGATACAAATATTTTACAAGATGTATAAGGAATGTATAAAATCTTTCGAATATCTTCAAGGCTCACTTTAGGCTTTTCTCATGCATTTCTGATACAATTTTGAATTTCTTCATTTAATCAATATTATATAACACAAAATATGTACGTCAGCTGATTACTATTGTCGTGTATAATTAAATAATTGGACGTATGCCATATGAATAATTTTTAAAATTGTTTTTCTTCGTCAGATGCACAAGTAGGCAACAATACTGGCTTTAACAACTTGCTATTTTGAAAATTTATGTAACATTTTGCATCACGTTTCAGAGTATCTTCTAGGAGCAGTTCTAGTACTGACGTTTCCTGCATGATAAATGTAATATTCTATAAATATTTTTCGTTTACGTAATATAAGTTTTTAAAGTTGTCAATTAGTTTGTATCTTACATCTTGCAATTTTTCTGCATAGTTCTCGATAGATGAGCAGCGATATTCTTGAAGAGCGCAGCACATGTTCCCTTCCGTGTGATTTTCTTTAAAAAGCATATTTTATACATATATATTTGACTAACGTTAACAAATGTTTCAATACAATTGCGTTTCTTACCATAGTTATTTGCACTTTGATATGTGACATTGCCAATAAAAATAATGCAAAAAAGAAGCAAGGCTGATTTCATTTTTACGAATGCCATTCGTTTACAATTTTAAAGACAGCGAGAGTAAAATTTCAAGAAAATTGATAATAAAAAATAAGTAAATTTTTAAAAGTTGGAAATGTGACAGTTGTTTCATTCATAAGTGACATTTTGATTGTGTCAGGGATGGTGTCATGACAACGATTACATAACTTCAAGGTGTTTCGAAATTTAATATTACGAACATAAGGATGATGCATTTGAATGTTCAATATTTCATTTGTTGATAATCATATGTTATATTCTTAACTAGGACTCTTAAACAATATAGCAACAATAATAAGATAGAGATTCATATGTACATAATTACTAATCCTCTTTATATGGAGATAAACGTGAACTTGTTGAACGTTTCACGTTACGTTGGTCGGATCGTGATACATAGAGATTACCGTAAGGCTTATACAACTAGAACCTCTCGTGCTCTTCTACAATTGAACTCCCTTTTTCTTTCCGATTGTTATTAAGAGAAAAAGAGTAGCAGTATATACGACAGACCAAAAAAAAAAGAAAGAGAATATATGGAGTGTACGGGTTCAATCGACAGACTATGAAGCTATGCGTTCATATTATTAGTGTAATCTCTAATGCTACGACGGTTAATGCTCCATTTGCATCGCCTATCAGCTTACTTTCCAACAAATGGTCGTGGATTTACGCAAAGAACGTAAATTAAACCCGGCCGAGTGTAAAATGTATATTACGAATTTCTCTTAGCCTTAGAGTGTAGCTTTAGAATGCGAGAGATTACTCGGCCGTCACTCTCTCCCCATCCGACTCGATGGTTGCAAGATTTTCTAATGTTCATTAGTTCTTTCTCAAAATATCTCGTTAAAAGGTATGAAAGACGCAAGCATATCATTGTCGACGTGAGATTCGCGATAAACAGAAGAAAGATCTGTTTAAGTTGTTATACATAACAAATTTTCGTCTAAAATTATGCGGCCTCGATTAGAATAATATCTCATTCCACTCTAGCGGTCAACTTGAGATCCCGACTTTCACTGACTCATCATTAACAACGATAACGCGTTTCCGTGCGTCATTATAGGGTTTTGAACCTCAGTTTCAAGGTTCCGAAGCAGCGGATAGAATAGCATATATTATCAGCGGGCGCGTAGAAGGATACGCGCCTTTAAAATCTTCATATGTGTACCATAAATATCGAACATGATCAT